ACGAGTCAGTGATCAACAGCTTCGGTGGAAAAGCATTGAAAACTCGATTAAAATACTCAAAGAAAGCTATAAATTGACAAAAAATGAGAACAAAAATATGCCTAAATTTTAAACCTAAATGTGTTTAACAATTATGTCTCAAAAGAAAAAATGTTTAGTCACTAAAAAGTTTGTGTAGATTTATTTCACAATTAAAACATTGTATTGAGTTTGAAAACTAAAATCTTATGCATTTGGAAAATAACAATTTTGTGAATAATTATCTCATTAATTAGTTAAATTAAAATTTCCTTTTGAATTAATTATATTTATTAAAACACTAAAACTTTTGGCCCTTATTGTTGTTTTGCAGCCAATTTTTTCTTAAGACTTTCGGGCATTTCCGGGGGCGGGGGTCGCGGCATACGGAGCCACACTTTGACCGCGTCATAGATGAACCACTGGAGACCTGTTAGCGTACCGATCATAATGATCCTGGGGGTCAGACCCTTCCATACACCTGTCCCGCAATAAATGCAAGTAATGACACAAACAATTAGGAAATCATTTTCGCTCATAATGTATGAGAAATTAATTGCATTCTCAATGAATACGGCAAAAAATTGTCACTTAATATCAAACAAGCGTTTAATTGCACTCAAAATTTGCAATTTGTGGCCAAAAATAATATCAAGTGTTTTAATGTCACACGTAATGACTCATCGCAATCATACGGCACATGAGATTTGAAAACCAAATCCCAGTCAACAGATTGCGACTTAATTGACGTGTAAATGATACGTGAAATGTATGGCATTTCACAACCCTTTCACAGGGTTTACCGTAATTTAAATATTCATTTTGGTTGCAATCAACGAATTCATATAAATCTAGACAATCACTTACCGCCAAATCCCAACTTCTTGAGCACCCCTCCAGCAGTGCTGCCCTTATCCTGATTGAGCTTCGATACCACAGTATCGGCCGGATGTGAGACAATGGCGCAGAAGACACCGGCTGTTCATAACAAACAAGACAATTAGTGTCCAATAAAGGTATCCAATCATTGGTCACAAACTACTAACCGATATAACCGGCGGTGAACGTGACCGTCAACTGTTCGGCTTTGTTGCACTCAGCCCTAGGTTTGGGAACGACATGTTTGTAGAGCAACTCGACAGTGCGCTCGAAACAGGCGAACTTCATCATCGTGTAGGGGATCTGTCGCATCCAGAGAGGGGTCAGACCCTTATAAAAGCCACCGAAGCCCTCGTTCTTCCAGATCTGCGGCATAACCACTCTCAACTGGGCGGACGCACCGGGAGATGTCTGGGTGCGCACCTTACAGGCCTCGAAGGGACAGAGAGCTACGTCGGCGAAGAGTTCGGCGGAAGCACTGGCAGCCAAATAGAGAGACGTCCGCCACTGATAGGAGGCCTCCTCGCCGATGGCGTCGGCGTACACTTTCTTGAACACCTCATATAAGCCAAACTTTCCCAGACCTGCAAAGGGTTAGGTATTACACCCATTGTTGCCAATTATAGCCAATGAAACACCAGTTCAGCGCCAATACCTTGCAGTGAGTACCCGAACGCGGTGGGCGCCCACCCGCGGCCCAGCCCTCGCACGCCCTCCTCCTTGAGGGTCACCTGAAAGCCCGATACGATTCCCTTGAATTTGGTTGGATTCACTTGAATGCGACACTTCACCAGATCCAGGGGCGTGAGTGCCGTATGGGTGATACCGCACGACAGCACGCCTCCCAGCCCGCAGAGGGCGAAGTACTTCGGGGACCCGTAGGCGCACGAGTCGCCCGGTTGTATCGCTTGCGGTGGACTCATTGCAATCTTCCTCAGCAGTTGATGGTGTGGTAAATGGGGTTCACGTGATCTCACACGAGATGTCTGTTATCTAATCAAATGGTAACGAAATAGCAGTGAATATGAAACCAATTATGAAATCATTTGAAAAAAATGTTTTTTATTACAAAAGCTTTTGTATGTATTTTACGATTACTTACGGATTATAATCGGATTAATAAATGGGATTTAAATGCAATTAGCGGTGACTGCGAGGGACAGGTAGTGATGGACAGACACGCGTGAACTGAATGGGAAGTGTAGGCAATAGCACAGAGAGTCGGCTCCGGTATTCAATGTCAGCAAAATGTCACTCTATTCAAGGCCTGAGAGGCATGTGTTGGACACATGTGTCGACACTAACGTCACGATTGATAAACCATTCAATGCTTTGCCAATCGGTTTGTTGTGAGTCTACGACAGGTGTCGTGTGAATCACAGGCCATTCGTAAAGCATTTGTATTTGCAATTCAATCCCAATATTCAAAGTGAAGGCTATTTCTCAATACAAGCGCACAAATTACGAGCCAATCAACGGTTCACATATAGTGTTACGAATTAATGTGTCATTAAAGTTCTCCAGCATTAATACCAGAGTGGAATTAATAGGTAAGGGAGTCAGGGGTACTAAATAAGTGGAGTTATTTATAACGTCATTTAATAATGACTCCTAAGCACATGCTTTGATATTTAATATTAGCCGTAATTTATTACTAAAATTATCGGTAAATTTTTTTGTCATTCTTGCAGTACAAGTGTTGCCATCAAGTGGTGAGTGAACGCATTGTTAGCATAGAATCCATTGGAATCCAATGCAAATGCATTGACAGTATTGTCCGCAAGCAGTGAACGGTCGCTGCAATCGAGTCGACAATCAAATGATATTCAAAATACAGCCTAAAGTAGTGTTCAATGAAAAAGTGCTTCAAAAACAAAAAACACATTAATTTGTGACAAAAAAATTGTATTAAAAAATCGGTTAAACTCTCAGACAATCAGACAATTAGTTTCCAGAAAATAGTTTTTAACTTTTAATATAAAAAACATATTTTTTGCCAATAAATCGGTTGTGAGTTAGCGTTTGTGGCCAAAAATCATCGGGTGAACAAAGTTTGACCTGGATTATATCGATTTTATCATACGATACATTATCACCTTATCTTTGGTCCCGAGCGCCGACCCGACAGATGTCCGCAAAGATGTTTTGCCAGAAGTTGAGCCCATTTTGGGTGATGAACCGATTGGTGGCCGTCGGCCACAGAAACCTATCGACAACTAATCCACTGAAAGCACAGGTAGTCTAATGCGTTGACCATTTTCATGACAATTGCATTAAATATATGGTTTTTACTGCATTATCTCATCGGTGGTAATCAGTTGACGGTTAGGGATGCGCTGAACAGTGCGATGGACGAGGAGATGGAAAGGGATGAAACGGTGTTCATATTGGGCGAAGAGGTGGCCCAATACGACGGCGCCTATAAAGTGAGTCGCGGACTGTGGAAGAAGTGGGGGGACAAGAGGGTCATCGACACCCCCATCACTGAAATAGGGTTCGCCGGCATCGCTGTCGGCGCTGCGATGGTCTGTATTCATAGTCCCGTGTCTTATATGACATCTGTTTTGTTGAATGAATCAAATTGTGGACTAATTTTTGTGTCTATAATTTGGTGACCTTTGACCTAAAGGCTGGTTTGAGACCCATCTGCGAGTTCATGACATTTAACTTCGCGATGCAAGCGATCGATCATATCATCAATTCTGGCGCAAAGACTTTCTATATGTCTGCCGGAAATGTATGTCATTAACCGTTACCTCTAACCACACATCTGAACGAATGGGTGTCCATTTGATAGGTAGCCGTTCCCATTGTGTTCAGAGGGCCCAACGGTGCTGCCTCTGGTGTGGCGGCCCAACACTCGCAGTGCTTCGGCGCCTGGTATTCGCACTGTCCGGGACTCAAAGTGGTCTCTCCCTACTCGGCCGAGGATTGCCGCGGACTCATGAAACAGGCCATCAGAGATCCCGATCCCGTTGTGTTCCTCGAGAACGAGCTCTTGTATGGCATAGCCTTTGATGTGTCCGATGAGGTGAAGTCCAAAGACTTTGTGATACCGTTGGGAAAGGCGAAGATCGAGCGCACCGGCGATCGGATAACACTAGTGTCCCATTCGAAGAGTGTGGGCACGTGTTTGGACGCCGCCAAGGAGTTGGCCGCACAGGGAGTCGAGTGCGAAGTGATTAATTTGCGGAGTTTGCGACCCCTGGATGAGGAGACCATTATTAGATCCGTTATGAAGACTAACCATTTAGTGACAGTGGAGGGCGGGTGGCCTCAGAGCGGTATAGGAGCCGAGATATGCGCCCGTATTATTGAAAGTATGTCCAGTTCGTGGCCAGGGTTATTTTGTAGATTAATGTGTGATCTGGGTTTAGGTCCAGCTTTTGACTATTTAGACGCACCAGTGGTTCGCGT